GGCTAGAGTGAGCAATGATAGCCTAAGAGATACCCTGTGAAAGCACTCACTAAAATAAGTAGCTTATATATAAATTAAATCTAGTTCTAGATGCAGATCTTTGAATTTTGTTAACAGAAACTCTTCGAGATTGAAGAGTATTTTTATTTTTATTTTTATTTTTATTATTATTGCTGATTCATATGTAAATGTTTCACAGCTACGACTAGTTCTTCCCCTGCCCATTGTCAAAAGAACTGTAACCAAAACAATATACCCTCTGTAATCTTTTTAGCCTGCATTCGCATTAAAAGCCCAACACAGCTCCAAAGATCTGACCAAATTATGCCAAAGTTGGTGTCTGGCGTTGCAGTTTTCATTGTTGTTGTTGTTGTAGTTGTGATGCTGATGATTTGTGCCAGTGCCACTTGAACTCAGCATCATCTTCGTTGTGGACTTAAGATTTGCGTTGAAGCTGCTGGCGATTTGTTGGCCCTCAGCGAGTTGTTCAAGTCGCTGTTGTTGTTGTTGCTGTCTGTAGTTGTTGTTGCTGTCTGTTGTCTTGTAATACAGCTTACTTACATGCATATTATATTGTTGCTGCTGCCTGTTGATTGCATCATCTGCGCTCAATTGTGCAATAAATGGTTTAAAATATGATTGTAAAGACGTACGCCCATTAAATATGTAAGCCCCAATCGATCGAGCTGTGTGAAAGTTCGGCTCATCTGATTTTGATGGGCCGATTGTAGATTGAATTAAAAATATAATTATATAAATTAAATTAATATTAAAATTATTTTCTCGTGTATAAGCTTATACTATAATTTTATTTATTTATTCTGATATAAAATATTGGGCAATTATTAGAAGAACTTTAAATAGTCTAAATTATTATAATGATTTAAAATTTAATTTTTGTTTACATTTAAATTAAAAAAAAATATTATTTAAGCCCTTATAAAGCGCTTCACAGTCCAATGAATCAATTAATTAATATCACAGCTATACTTAATTTTTCGTAAGCCTATTTTAGTCTATTGAGTTCAGTTTGTTTCCCAAAATCATTGTAAATCTTTCAGGCAGAGAAAAAAAAAAAGAAAACATTTAATTTGATTTTATTCGAGAACCAAAAACTTTGCTAATTTAATTACTGAATAAAATATGTGTTTTTCTTCTATTATTTTATTTATTAAATTTTTTGTGCTTGTGTGTGTTTTTTTTTTTTATAAAAACTCTCGCCGTCTGTGCGACATATAGAGCTAATGTATTGTTTGCTTGTTGGACCAACCCACTTGGTAGTGGGCATTGGAAAAGTTGGAAAAGTTGCTGACGCGGCGAAATAAATAGGAAGCACACACACACACACACACACACAAATGGAAGACAAATTTCTTAGTGAAGCACACGTGCAAAGCGAACAATGAGTGCAGGAGGAGTAGGAGCAGCAGCAGGAGTAGGCGGCATCGAGGGGCACTTGCCATGAGGAAAAGGAAACGGCGCATAAAGGCGCGCAGGTCCAATTCCAACAAGTTAAAGAGCAAGAAAAAAAAAGCAGAAATATATATAAAATCGAAACGTGTTGCAATCAAACGCATAAAAGCGACTATAAAACGACACATGGCAAATCGAAAGGTGAGGCACAGCAACACAAAAAGGTGAGCAGGGTGAGCAGGGTATGGAGAGGGGCAGCTGAGTAGGGTAAAGAAGGGGACTGGCAAATCTGCATCAGCTGCGCTTTGCAGCTGCCTCTAACAACGCGTGGCAGCTAGCATGTGTATATGTATGTAGCTGCCCGCAGCATGCAGCATGCAGCGTATTGCACAATGCCAAAATTGGAGCAGAGATCAACGAGCCGCCGAGTCGACACTTTAAAGGCAACCAGCAGCTGCCTGCCCGAGCAAGGGGCGCGCCGCCTGCGGGGCGGGAGTGTGGAGCGAGGAGCAAGGGAGCCTGCTGGAGCAGGTTTTTTTTTTGCTGCCAGACTCATAAATGCATACAATAAGCCCCGTTGGCCATATGCGATGTTTACCTGGTTCTTTTACATTACAGTCGATCATGAAATGAAAGAGAGCATATTAGTCCTGCCTCTACTGAGGCATTGAAAGGGATAACTGCATGCTTACATAAAAGAATTGTTAAAACTTCTATACTACTAAAGTATATATACTATAGTAAATCCATAATAACTATATGTTCTTATATAAATACATATATATTTTTCACTTCTTCATTCTGAAGTCTAATATTTCATAATAATTGTAAAAAGTCTGGAGTTTTATCACATTTTTAGTTTCAAGACTTTCAACATTCAAGCTGACCACAGAGGGCACTCTATATAGACTTTGTTAAAGATATACATAGAAATTACATATAACTTAGCTCATTTTGTCTATGAACGGGTATTGCGCAGTCAGTAGCGTTCCACTGCAACATTCTTGTTATTATTAGCTTGTTTCACTTTTATTTGCTTGAGTCGTCAGGTATTTGGCACACGAGCATTGGGCCACGGCTCACTTTAGTCTCTAAATGGGTGCAAATATTTATTGAATAACCAAAGTAGAACAATTTTTATGGGTTATCTATAGAGAATTCTCTTATGATTGTAGCTGCTGATTGAGGACTTTGTGAATGATTATTATTAAATGAAATAATCACATCAATAGAATGTTTCATTATTTTGTAAGCTAAAAAAAAAATATATGTTAACTAATTATGTATAAACTTGTAAAAAATAGATAAACAAATAAAATTACCTTAAATAAAATCCCTAAATAAAACAAAAAACAAATAAAATTACCTTAAATAAAATCCCTAAATAAAACAAAAATCTACCACAATTCAAATTTTTATAATTTTTATAAATACTAAATACCCAAATCTATATTTAATTAGCCCACATTGAAAGCTGCTTCACCGCTATTTGTCTGCTTCAATTATTACAGCTCCAAAAGTAAATTCAAATTTCTGGCTTCGCCCACCGCAGAGCGACCTCAAAGCCTCTCTAAATGTTAATTAAATTGTTTGCCATGATTAATTGGCATCAATAGCTGCTTTTTATTGGCACTCGGCGAGGCTTCGGCCATATAAACCGCAAACGATATTACTGACCTGCCCCATGAAAATGATATGTGAGCAACTCAATGACAATGCCGCCAACGCACTGAAAGTGAAAGTTTTTTTTTTGTTTTGTTTTAATTCGCATTTTTTTTCCAACATTTTTCTGTGGCTTGGCAATTATTTGTTTTTATAAGTAAACGAAAAGTTTTCAAACCGAAACCCACAAATAGAAAAAGAAAGAAAAAGAAAAAAACTATGCATAAATTTAATATTTACATTTGAAAAAGTCAACTCACTGAGTTGGGAGCTGCATTTTAAAGAGCGAGGGAGAGGGAGTGGCAGAGTGAGAGAGAGAGGGAGAGTGAATGCGTGAGTCAGATTATATTACAAACCTCAAATGCCAGCCAAGTGTTGAAGTTGACCACGTTCAGCTCGGCGGGCGGTGACAGCCGACTTGACTCTGATATTTTTCCAGAAACAACAACTTGAAAGCCGGTTCAAGTTTAAAGGCTGCACGTTGTTATATAATTGCGAGCCATTTCTTCTCTTTGAACTTGGCAACTAGTTTAACTGCATGCCAGCGTTACGAATTCAGCAAGAAAAACAAATTTACATATCAATGCCCATTCAAAGCTTAGCTCTGGCTGTGATATAATCAGTTCACAGTGGCTTAAATAGGTTGTTAATTAATTAAAGCCCGACCCCTGGGTGGGTTCAAAGTTGTTAAAGTGCGGCGTCAGCAAGATCGAACCGAAAGCAACATCAGTTCAAGTTCGAGTTCGAACATCAAACAGCTGCAACAAGTGTGATTGGAACATATCAAGTTTGATAGAAGTAGAAGACAGAAGTTCTGCCACAGAAGAGCTTAGAAAAGGTTTTAGTTGGAGGAAGATATACTATGTTTATGTATGTTATAAAGGCAGCCTATTTGAAAGAAACTTAAATAAGTAAACATGTCTAGAAAACTATTTGCATTCAACAAGTATTATTGCCTGAGCTCTTGCATTTATCTGTCTGTCAAAGCTCATGTTAGTTGACATGTTGCTACTGTCAACATGATGTTAACATTGTCATGCACTGTGACAAATGCACGTATTTTAATTGGCAGCAGCGCAGTGACATGTTGACAGAGAGAAAGAAGAAATTCAATTGCAGCTGCGGCTATTGACAATCAAGTGAAAACCTGGCCAAGTAATTAGCTTAAATAAACAATCAACAGCATTTCGACAGGCAAATATAAACATAAGAAGATCAGCGATAATGTTGCTGGCTCAGAGATTCGATTAGCCAGCAGCTGCAGTTTGCATATCAAACCAGGTTGACAGTTGGCTCTGCCTGCCACTGCTGCCAATTCAGCTTTTTTCCCGTCAAATCTGGCTTTTTCCGAAGACAAATTGCGGGAAATATTTAAGAATTGCGGGAAGCGGGAATTCTGGCTTTTTT